CCGCCCGCGCACCCGCCGCGGGTCACCTGCGGCGCTCGCAACCCGCCCCGGCCTCGTCACCACAGCCTAGCGGGTGCGCGCCGCGCGTCCCCGAGCCTAGCCGAGCGGCGAGCGCGCGGCCTCGCGTGGCCCCGCCCCCTCCGCACCCCGCCCCGCCCCGAGCCTTGAAAAGTCCGGGCGCTCCCGGGGTCACAGCCCTAGCGCTGCTCTCGCGGCGTCGCTTTCCTGCGACCTCCAATCCGCTTCCCGAGCCGCTATGGCCGCGTCCTCACGAATCCGCCCAGGCCCCAGGCGGACCCTCGGCGATCCCTGGCTCCTGCTGCTGGGCGTCCTCGCCCGGGAAGCGACTTGTAGGTCCCTCACGGCCTCTGCACCTCGCCTGGGCTATGTTTATCCCCGGGAGAATCAACACCAGGATGCCAACCTCATGCTTCGCCTCCCCCCGGCTCATACCTGTGTGTGTTTTTCTTGCTGCCACACAGTGCTCTCTGGCCCAGACATTGGGTGGGGATAAAACCTGACTTCTTAAGTGTACATTTTCTTATTGGTGTAGGTGACCTCAAAACTGAACGTAGAATTTATATCGTAAGATGACACGTTAGATCCGATTTCCTAATAAGTATCAGTGGTACTGGATTTTCTTTAAAATATAGATATATGTTGTTTCGGATATCACCAGTAGCCTCTTAATTAAATGATTTCTTGCAGGGCATGCCTTACATTGTGGTAATCGTGAAGTCAGATGGCTTAAGTATTGTGATCGTGAAGAATGCGTCTGTAACAAAAGTATTAGGAGCAATAGATTAATGACGATGTCATTTTCTACCCAGTTTCTGAAGCGCCCCTTTCTCACAGGAATATGAACAAGATTTATTAATACCTGTAAAAATAATTTGAAAGCCATGATTAAAAAGTGCAGAATGATAGCCACAAGGCTTACAAGAAATTCTGTCTCATGATGTACCAATAAAACCCCTATTGTCTAAAATTATTCTGGTTTCTCTGAAAAATACTAAAAGTTGGAAATCTGACAAAAGCTAAAATAAACTACCATCCTTTCAAGAAATATGATTGCCCAAAGGCGATGACTCCTGTGTAGTACATATGCATTGGGATGGATGTTACCCAGTTTCTACATCCTCAAAGATGCAAATTACCAACTTGAGACAGAGGATAACTTTTTGGCTTTGATTATGACTTTTGATCTACATGCAGGAAAGAAGGGCCATCTCAGAGGAAGGAATTTATATAAATGTAATGAAAAGTAAACTCTGAAGGAGTTGAAATTGGCAGCAGAATCTGAAAGAAATAAGAATTAGAGATGGAGAATAAGTCAAAAGAGGAACAGAGCAGCAGCTCCCTGAAGAAAGATGAGACTCATGGGAAGATGGACTCTAAGGGGGTGCAGATGACTCTGCTGAGGAGGGAGACCTACTGGATGATGGTGATAATGAAGACTGGGGGGGTCGAGCAGCTGGAATCGATCAACAGTGATGAAAAATAGTCTGAGGAAGGAGAGGATGACCCTTAAGCACATAGTGGGGTTTAGAACTCTTATCCCCTTATGTCTTTACCTAGGCTCTTGTCTGAGATCAACTACTTCACCAGATCCTCTCCCCTGGTATCTTTAGCACGTACTCACTGTTGGCCCCATCCTCGTGCTTCCCATGTTCATTTCATATTGCCCCGTGCCTAGTCCCATTTTCTCTTCCTTTGGCGCTCTGAGTAGTTTTGTTAAGTCTCACCCTGTAGTTTTTGCTTTTAATTTTGATACCTCTTTATGACTTAACAATATATATAGCATGTATGGTTTTTAACAGCTGTTTCCAAAATAATCTCTCATTATGCAGGGAGCACAGTTCTTTCCATTCATATGAGTTTAGTAGTTGCTTCCCTAACTGCAAAGTCAATCCCGTTTAGTTGAGTAGCACCTGAGAACAGCTTTGAGTTAGAAGCCTGTGCCTTATACTCCACATAAGAGTGCTGTGGGGGGCTGTTCAAACAAATGTAACGATGTATTTTTGTGAATGAGAGATGGCATTTCAAATCCAACCTGTAGAAAAATAATTAGTATAATAGTCTTAAAACTTGTTTTCTAAAGTTGATACTGAGGGTTATTTTTG